AAAGGAAAAAAAGGATAAAAAAAAAGAGAAGAACAGATTTGATATACGACCCAAAATGAACCTTTTTTAAAGTTTTGTGTGTTACCTAATTTTGAATATCAGTTCTTCGCCCGTAAACCAATATATTTGAAAACAACAAATCTTTAGAAATTCCGCACTGGAGATATGTTTTTTTTTTTTCCGTACAGTGCGCTCTGAACTCTTTATTTGTTAATCAAAAATTTTAAAGTTTTACAAAATATGAAATAGATTAAAAAAATTCGAATTAGGCCGTCCAGATGCCCATGTTCGGGTAGAGGATTACATATCAAAATTATGGCTTAGATACCGTCATTTTTGTCGTGTGCAAGAAACATACTGTATTCATGCGATTCTTCATTATTTAATTCTTTACATATAATACAGGCGATAATATTTGGTAAAACAATTGCAAGGAGAACGGACACTTATAGTAAAAGAGCCAAAATGCCCTTCGAAACAAATAGCCTTTCTAGGATCAACGTTTTGAGTAATAAATTAAATTAACATAAATAAAAAAATCTGATGCAGAACTAAAAGTAAAAAAAAAATAACACTATAAAATACAAGCAAATTATTATTACGGTTAATAGAATTTTAATATAGAATTAAATGTATAAAATTTTTAAGAGTCAAAGTGTTTATCCACTATATTGTATTATGAAAATAATTAAAATAAATTCCTTATAAAATGAGCTAAATACTCATCTATAATTTTAAATAGCAGCACAATTAGAATTTTAAACAAACTTTAAAATTTTTTTTAAATATTTTAGTACTTTTTACTTATTTACACCAATAAAAGCATAAAAATTGCGAGAAAATTGCTTGTTGAAACTTTCTATTAGTTCAGAACTAAAATGTTTTTTCTAAAAGAAGTAGTTACAAATTTCCTTACAGCCATAGGAAAAGGAAAAAAATATCCAGCCTGAAAGCATGCAATAGCTTTATACTTATTTGGAACGTTAATCATGCTTGATAATATGCTAAATTTTTAAAATCAATTCAATTTCAAAATAAAAGTGTTAGAAATTTTAATGTGAATGAGGGCCCCACAACCCTTTCTCTTTGAGAATTAACACGCTGCAATAGGCAACCAATGTTACTTTCTGCAAGTCGTCCCTACTCCTCTGGATGTAATCAAGGTGACAGCCGGCAACGCCTCAGACGAGGGAGAAAACCCGTTTGGGTTAGTCTATTTCTTATAAGGTCCATGCCCCCGACACCCTCGCTTTCATGCATGTGAATTTGAAGTTATTTTTGTAAACATAATTTAATCTTTGTTATATTTATGAAACAGATTTCAAAGTAATCGTTATAAACATAATAAACAGAATTTAATCTTTGTTATATTTATGAAATAGAATTCTAAGTAATCGTTATAAACATAATACACAATGCTATCTTTGCAAAATTAATGAATTAGAAGTTGAAAAATATAAAGAGATTTATAAAATAAGGTACAAGAAAATACACAAATTTCAATGTACATAATATACATAAAAGGCCATAATATGAATAAATTAACTTATATTCTTTCTTGTGGGAGGACGGTGAAGTGTTTGTGTCTGTTTTCTTACTCAGAAAGCATGTGGTATGCTATGCTATGCTATCCGAGATGTAGGGAGCAGCTGTGGGGACCCTTTGAATTACAGTGGTGGCCAAAATTCTGGACACTTTTGGAAATTTTTCTGTTTTTGAACTTTGTATGCTTATAGAAAACGTTATGTTTCACAAAATGCAAACTTGTATACATCATTTTAAAGAGAATTCATTACTGAATTCAATACAAAACGCAAAATTCAATTATTTGCAATACAAAAAACGTTAAACGCTAAAAAAATGCCAACACGCTTAAGCATTTGGCCCTGAGACTTATGGATGGTCATAGCAAAGGCATGTTTTACAGGAAATTGTCTACATCTCAATTGAAATGGCAGTCCTGTGCCGTGGCAACTTCACCCCATTGGCTAGTACAGTTAAGCAAGCAACCAATAAACTATCGGCGACAAACAGACATTTAAGCCTCATATATGTATGGGTCAAGTAACATCATCTCCTCCGAATATTCCTGCCCGCATCACTCATCGAAGCATAACTGAGATGGCCGGAAAATGAGATAGCTGGAAAACAACTGAGATAGTCTCTAACTGACATAGCCGGAAAACAACCTGCATTCTTTGCAGGTTAATCGTGGCATACAGAGGAAGTTGGAGTTGGCTCCAACTTCAGTTCCAGCCCAAACTCTATGAAGGAAGGACGTCTCTTGTTACACTATCTCCTCCGAAACCGCTGGCTCCTGTGCTTAGCGAAGAACACCGTTGGATTCCGTAGGTTCATGGCACACCATTTTGACCATTCGCAACTTCGTGGGACTTTAATTAAAAACTAATTTTCCACTTTCTTTCTTGGGTTTTCCCTATTAGAGGGATTTGGCTATGTGCCGAATTCTTTTTTCTCGAATATCTACGGAAGGGTGCCAAGTTGAAATAAGACATGCGTATCCTTGGAGTCCAAAAAATTCTCCGAATCCATCGATACCATTCTAATTTTCGTACAACTTTAATCGGTCGAGGAATTAATTAAAAACTGCGGAAACGTTAATTTCTGTGCTCATTTTTCCGAGTGGCAACAATAAACTATGGGCGACAAACATTTAAGCCACTTATATATATAAAGATATATATGGACTGACACAAGAATACACTTGTAGCATCTGCGTTTTCATCTGATGCAATCCCTATTGATTTTTGATAGGTCGCGTTTTGTTTATACGAACAAAGATGTAAATTATTGTTATATTTTTTCCTTGCATTTTTTTTTAGGAAAAAAGAACATAATTCAAATTGGAATCTGTCTTCTAAAGAACAGAAAGCAGTGCATTACTTTCACAGTAATGGGATTCTACCATTAAGGGGGGGGGAGAAGGTGTCTTAATGCATACTAAATGGTAAACTAAATATGGCCGAAAAAAATTGATCATAGATTGGAGACCTGCGGGGAGTTTGTATTCATATCATTCTAAACAAAGCATCCTTTAATATTGGAAGATCTAAGAAAATATTAGAAATTATAGAAACCTCTTTGTTTATTAATAAAGAGGCATCAGTTCCTTCGGAATACTGCAAGAAAGTTTGGCGCAATTTTCGCAGATCATTGGATCTCTGCCAACTTTCACGGTTTGATTTTAGTCAACTTTCATGGTCCACGGGATAACGCATAATTATTTTTTTTATGTTGTTGTTATAAACTTGCATGTTTTATTTTATTTAATTTTAGATAATTGGGATAACTAGTTTATTACTGTATATATATGTCTTGAATATGATATAATTACAGAACATTATTATTATTTTTTAATTAGGTGAATCAGGATTGGGTAAATCAACATTAATTAATTCTATGTTCCTGACTGATATTTATTCAAATGAATATCCTGGTCCTTCTCTTCGTATTAAGAAAACAATACAGGTATTATTTCAGTTGTGATCGTGCTTGATTGTTATATTTGCATATGAATAACTGTATTTTCACTCAAATTTTAAAGAATTTCTGAAGTAATCGTGTTTTCTGTTTATTTTCATGAAGCCATTACCACCGTGTTTACCCATGTAATAGTCAAACATTTTCTGCAAATTTTTCATTGTTAAAATTTAGGTGCAACTATTATGCAGGAAAATCTACTGCACAATATTGTACACTTTTCAGGAATTTTTCTGTTTCAAAATGAAGGTGCGACTGTTACACGAGTAAACACAGTAATAAGCTAATTCTTGCAAAACCACTGGATGGTGAATTCTTAAAATTAAGCATCTGAAACAATGAATGCTCACCCACTGCATTTCAAATTACCAAATGTTTTAAGCTTCAAAAATTTATTTGAGTCATTGTCCTTATTTTCCTAATTTGGCATTCAAGTCTCTTCTAATAATCAAGCATAAACTATGCATTCTAGAAAGATTAATTGAAGCTTCTAAATCCCATTTCTGTGACCTGAATGTATGAATGGGAAAACTTTGCAAACAAAATTTAGTTTGTTTAAATGAAAAATTATATTGGTTTTAATTGCAGATATTTTGAAAAGCCATAAAATGATTTATTTCTATACAAAAATATTTTGTGTGTTGTTTTCTAAAAGTTTGGCATGTGGTACACACACAAGATTATGCTAAGTGCAGAGAATGAGTATGGTACAAAGAGTTTATTAGATGTTAGATTTATTAGAAGAGAAAAGATGCTACATTAAAAAAAAATTCCATTGCAGCTTTAAAGACTCTTCTTTAGTCAGTAAAATGCAAATAAAATGCAGTGTATAGTATACATAGAATCAACATACATATATATATATACATAGAATCAACAGGAGCATATATACATAGAATCATACATATATACATAGAATCAACAGGAGCGCTAGAATTGAAACTACAAAAATTTAAAATATTGTGAACAAAATCTCATGTGATCTTGAGTATCACAATAATCTTTAAACAGAGAACTCAGTATTGAAATAAGACTGAGAAAGAGTCATCTATAAAGTGAGAATTGCAGAGAGGATACTCAAGAGTATTGAAAATTAATATATTTTTTTAAGTGGGCAGCCAAGCAGTCATGTCCTACTGCTAAGTTGAAGCACAGCTACTACATTATTTCAAGAATCTGGTAAATCATCAAAATACTTGCTGTTGACTTTTATTACAAATAAAGGAACTTTTTGTCTTGTCAGTGATCAAAAAGTTGTTTGAAAGGTTATTTTGTTGAAAATTTGTGTTAATTTGGTATCTTTCTTTGTGAGATCATCTGTTGCCTCTTTCCGAGGTATGCACAATAAGATGATAGCCGCGATAGAGCATTTCTCTTTTCGGAATCAAGTATTAATTGGCATTTAAGCGTGAAGCTCGTTTACTTTAATTGCACTTTAACCTTTTCACGACGGCGCACCTTTGTTTAAGACGCTCGTGCGGGACGGAAGACACTCAAAGGCGGTCACCATAAAGGAGGGGGTTTTCCATCGCTAAGCCTAATTTTATAAAAAAAAAAAAAAAAGAAAAAAAAAAAAAAAAAAAATCAGAGGGGGAAAAAAGTTTCACTTCTGGCATTGTAATTTTCGCTATTATTTTAGATTATTACTTGAGCTCTTACATATGTTAAAATGAGCATTTAATAACCTTTTTTTCTTTATTTTACATGAAAATATATTTAAAAAATTGCTTATCTTGTAAAATAATTTTCAAAAGCGCTATTCAAATTATTCCAAAGTTTAAATTGATAAAATCCATCAATAAAGTTTTAAATTAATAAAACAACACAATATAGACTATTTACAGTAAGAAGTAACAAAATTAAAAATGAAGACTGGTAAATCTCGAAGTACGGAGCAGTATCACTTTCTCTTAGAAAAAGTATCACTTTCTAACTCTTTAGAAAATGAATCATCACTCTCATTCGCATTAATAAATGGTTCATTGACCATACGAGGGTATTCTTCCTCTGATAAATAGCGCCTTTCCGCTATAATAGACTGAAGATGAGGCTTTCCGAAATAAAAGGAGCAGAAACGGAAATATATCTGAAGGGCAATGCAAAACGTAACAATACTCCACATACTAACCCTAAAAGACCGTATATAGTAAAGGAAAAAATAGAATTAAAAAAAAGAATTGGATATAAATCAGACACGCGAATGTTTTCATTAGTGCGCAGCGATTTAAAGAGCTCACCTTTGTTTATGTTTTCCCTCCCCCCCCCCACCCTTGCAAGAGCTGATGAGTAAAATACCAAAGTCAAGCAGAATATATCAAACTCAAGGTCAGGAACTTAAAACTGTGTTCATTTCAAAAGTAATGGACCTAGGATGCCATCTAGTGGCCTTCAGAAAAACGTTCCAGCTTAAAATGCGCATACGCATCACCTGTCCTCTTAATGCAATCTCTAGCGATGCGTGGATGGGACGCCCAGCTGTAAGAGATGTTCTTAGGGAATGCGTATATGGGACCTCCGTCTAGAAAGGGTTAAGGCAGCCAGCCTCAACTTCATCAATATAGGCTGTGTTTTGAAAATCAAGAGATAAATGAGGGAAGAAAAAGAAGAGCTGAAAATACCACCACTGGCCTTAAACACTTAGAATAATTTATGTAAATATGCAGCCATTTGTTATTTGGACAACATTCTTCCATTGTTTTTGATGCTAGGGGAAATAAAATTTCTGAATTGAAAAAATGTTACTAAAAGCTGAAAAAGTAAACTTAGTTTAAAAAAGAATTTAATGGGTTAGGAGGTAGGCAGGGATTTTACTGCTTAAAAGGGGGAGTTAAATGAGGTTTTAAAAGTGAGATTTTTAAATACAGTACAAAGTCCAAGATTAGGGCATCCAATATCCGGAATGATCTAAAATCCGGACAACAACCTTTTTTTTTTTTGTATGCTTTGCATGTGCATTTGATTTTTTTTTTTGCACCTATAATAAAACATGTAGAGAGTCCCAATTTTTAATTTCACTTCAGCACTAAATAAATACCTCGTTATTAAAGAAACAATAATTTAAATAATTAAACAATAATGTTGCGTGCATTATTTGTTATGAATTGAATGCACAAGTCTGATGAAAAATTAATAAAATTTATTATCATCAAAAAATCCTTAAATTTATTTATGTATTCGCACAATATCTGAATATCTCACAGTAGTTATCTTTTAAACTACTAAAAACATTCAGCATATTCAACAACAACAAAAATAGAGAAAGCTAATCTGATTTCTCTGCAAATTCGCTACAGTAACCAAAAGCAGTTTTAAGCAAACTCATAAAACAACTACTGAATTGAGAAGTTTTCCTCCTTTCATAAGCTTTTTAAATCATGCACGAGCACATTCTGGTATTTTCTGGATTTTTCCCGAAAAGCAAAAGCTTGCAATTTCGAGACATCTATTTATTAAATGCGCTTGCTTCTCTATTTTTAATTTTTCTGCTGTAGCTTTCTCTTCATATAAGTCGTGCGCAGCATTGCACTAGGAAATGAAACAATTTAATTACAATTCTGTTAAAAATAGCAAACTAATTAAATCAATACAAAAACCATAACAACAATAATAATAAATTTGTGTGATCAATAATTTGGCTCCATAGCTGCAATATCTGCTTGACATACATCTCAAACTGAAACATTCTATATAGAAATGTCGTTTATTTTACATTTACTAATATTTTGTATCCCTGATGCCAACCTAGCAAATCATTATTTATTATATTTTGCTTTCATCACCACATGTTTATCAACAGATGACATTTTGAGTACTGATTCATGCAGCGATGCCCAATCAATTTTTTTATATTAATATAACTTAATAGCAAAGAGTCTGGTAACCTTTTATGTTGACATTAAGCTTGGCAATGATTACAGATTTAAGTTAAATGCACGAAGAAATGTTGACGAGAAAAAAATTTAACAAAAATTTCTCTTCGTATTCTAAAAATAGATTTTGTTAATGATACCCAGAGGCCAAAAGATTACATTTCTTCTTCTTCATAAACTCCACAATCTGTTACCGACCAAGGCTGTCTCTCCAAGTTTTCATTCGGTGCAAAAGCCTTCCCTTGGTTAACTCCAATTAACCCCAAATCTTCCTTGACATCTATCTTGTGGGTAGTCTTCCTTTTCGTCCTACTCCGTCGTTCTTGAAAGGTTATCTTTTTGAATGGAAATGAATCTTCATATCTAAACACATGGCCCAGCCATCTGATATGAGATGGCTTTACGATTCTCACAATATCAGTTTCAGCATATTTCCTATATTTCCCATATAGTTCATGATTATAGAATATCTTCCACATGCCATTTTGTCGTACCAGTCCAAAGATCTTTCTTAGGATTTTTCTTTCAAAAGTTGACATCAGGTCTTTCTCTACAACATTCACTTCCGCAAAGGGTAACAGGCCATATTAAAGTTTTATATAAATTTCATTTAGTTTTTATGTCGATTAGTTTGGATTTAAGATGTTTTTTAAGGCCATAGTAACATCTATTAGCCATTAATATTCTATTTTTTATTTTAATTTTTATATCATTGGAACTTGTGATCAATGTGCCCAGTTTTTAAATTGTTGTACGGTTTCAAAGATATAACTGTTTATCTTCAGAGGGAATAAATCAACAGTTTTATTATATGCAATCATAAATTTAGTTTTGTCTTCATTAACCCTTTCAGGACAGGCATCCCATATACGCATTCCCTACGAACGTGTCTTTCATTCGGGCATCCCATCCACGCATCACTAGAGATTGCATTCAGAGGACGGGTGATGCATATATGCATTTTAAGCTGGAACGTTTCTCTGAAGACCACTAGACAGCATCCTATGTCCATTAATTTTGAAATGAATACAGTTTTATGTTCCTGACCTTGAATTCTGCCTGACTTTGGTATTTTACTCGTCAACTGTTGCGAGGGGGGAGGGAAAACATAAACAGAGA